CGTATACATACACACATACGTACAAATATATACACACACAAACATACATGTATTAAAAGTATAGCCAACTTTGTTTGTGTAGAAAAAAAATTATTTTTTTTTTCGGGGGAAGGGGGGGGTTAAATTCATTATTTGCACGCACCACTCTTTATAAAAAATGTCAGGTATGGTTTGTGATTGATTGATTGATGTTTAATTTATATGTCGTTTAATTCATTTATTCGTTTTTTTCATTTCTTCATTCATTCATTCATTTTTTCTTTTATTCATTCATTCATTTGTTTGTTCATTCAGCCGTTCGTTCCTTTTTTCATCTCGTCTGTTTTTCATTCATCTGCATTAATTCATCTGTTCGCACGTTAATTTTCATTCATTCGTTCGTTCGTTCATTAATTAATTAATTAATTCATTCATTCATTCATTCATTCTTTCCTTCGTTCTTTCATCCATCCATCTATCCATCCAGCACATCTAGTTTTAATTTGACGTATGTTTTTATTTTCATTGTTTGGTTTCTGTCAAAAGGTTTGACTTTATTGCTGGTGACGATGATGATGACGACGACGATGATGATGATGATGGTGTGGGGTAGCTTAAGTGGTAAATTTTGTTGGTTGCGAGTTTTGCATGCAGTCTAAGTTTATATTTTGTTATCATTCGTTTTTTGTTCGTTAATAATTCATTCATTCATTCATTCGTGCATTCGTTTATTCGTTCATTCATTCGTTCGTTCAGTCATTCATTCATTTCTTCATTCAATCTTTTATATTTTATTCATTTCTTAAAATATCTAGCCATCCATTCACCTGATACAGATATTCATATCTGCGAAGTAAAATCAGACACTCAACGTAGCAATCAAATGTCATTCATCCAACTCGCCAATCAGTAAATCAATCAATCAAAATTCAATCAATCAATCAAAATTTAATCAGTCAATCAACCAATCAATTCAATCAACCAATCAAATCAATCAATCAGCCAGCCAATCAAATCATCCTACCAGCAAAACCGACCAATGAGAATCAAGAGAAAATAGTCTCCGCTTTTAGACACGCCTGGCTGGCCTACAAGAGGTATGCCTGGGGCAAGGATGAATTGAATTCGCTGTCGAAGAAGGGATCTGATTGGATGGGCGTTGGACTGACGATTGTTGACTCGCTGGACACTTTGCTCATAATGGGACTCAATGATGGTCAGTGAGTGAGTGGGTGAGTGAGTAAGTGGGTGAGTGAGTGAGTGGGTGAGTGAATGAGTTGGTGAGTGAAGGAGTGAGTCAGTGAATGAAAGAGTGAGTGAGCAAAGAGATAATCTAAAGGACGAGGGAGTGAGTGAGTCATCGTCATTAGAAGCATTATCACCTTATGCATTTTTATTACACCGCTTATGATAGTTAATTATTAATTTATTCATAAACTTCCGCCAATAAGAACGCCTCAGTGGATAATTTATTCATAACCACACCCATTTGTAGATAATAATTTATTCATAACTACGCCCACCAATCAGAATACAAGGAGGCCCGCGATTGGGTGGTGAACAGCCTGAAGACCGATCAGACGATGTCAATCCAGCTATTCGAGATCACCATTCGTCTGCTGGGTGGTCTCTTAAGTGCCTATCACCTCTCAGGGGACAAAGCTCTCCTCAACAAAGCAGTGAGATAGTGATGGAGATGGTAATGGTGGTTACGATGATAATGGTGATGAAGATGATGATGGTGATTATGATGATGATGGTGATGAAGATGATGATGGTGATGAAGATGATGATGGTGATGAAGATGGTGATGAAGATGGTCTTGTTTCTATTTTGATTGCTCTTTTGGGTCTACTAATATCAGATTTTATTGTTGCTTCTGTGAGTGGTTTTTTTTAATTTTCGAAAATGTCGTTTTGGAAATTAGAACCTCTGAAATGATGAGAGGTAGAATAGTTACGATTATGAAAGTGACGATTATTTGCTGTTGAATCTCTCTCTCTCTCTCTCTCTCTCTCTCTCTCTCTCTCTCTCAATTTTTATCTTTCTCTCTTTTTTTCTTTCATTTTTTTCCTTTTTACTCTTCCTTTCTTCTTCCTCTCTTCCCCACCAGTCTGTAGTAAAACAATCCACAAGTCTGTAGTAAAACAATTAAAAAAAATGAAATATGCAACTCTTACAAAGTCACACGTTCACATCTTAATGCATGCTTGGGCTGACTGCAATCACGTGATTTTCGACCCCGCCCAGATCGAGTTCGGAGACGCCTTATTTGTCTGCTTCGGTGGATCGAATCCCCTACCGGCCAATAAGGTTGTCATAAAGAGCAGGAGGGCTGAATTTGGGCAGACGAATTTGGCGGAAGTGGGAAGTTTGCAACTAGAGTTTAGAGATCTTTCTAGAGCCAGTGGAGATTCTAAATATGAGGTTTGTATGGATGTGTGCGTGTGTGTGCGTGTGTGCGTGCATGTATGTGTGTATGCGTGTTTGTGTGTGTCTGTATGTCGGTGTATATGTATGCATTGGTTGGGGGGGGGCACAACATACAAGCAAACACAACACAACACACACTTACGTATACAAAAAGCCCACGTTGCAATATCATTTCAGAGATGAAACATGCTGAAGTGATACTATGATACTAGCAAGAAATCAAGAAATGCAAATAACTTAGAGAGAGAGAGAGAGAGAGAGAGAGAGAGAGAGAGAGAGAGAGAGAGAGAGAATATGCCAAAACTTAGAGAGTAAAGAAAGAAGATAGAGAGAAAAGGCAGAAAGAAAGAGAGTAGATGAGAAACATGATGAATATAATAAACAACCAAATAGACACACGCATGTACGCACACGCGCACACACACACACACACACACAACGACTACAGAAAGCAGCTTGGAAGGTGTCCGAGTACTTAAGAGGATTGAAAAAGTTTGACGGTCTGGCCCCGACCACGTTCGATTCCTCCTCTGCCTTCTTCAGCGAGTACGCCCCGATCACCATGGGGGGCATGGCCGATAGTTATTATGAATACCTACTCAAACAGTGGCTGCAGACGGGCCAGACTATCGACTGGTCGGTATTTCGTTATTTGATTTTCCGGTTTGTTGGGTTGTGTTTGTTTGTTGTCGTTGTTTGTCGGTCTATCAATCAATCATTTAATCAATTAATCAATCAATCAATTAATCAATCATTTAATTAATCATTTAATCAATCAATCAATCAATCAATCAATCAATCAACCAATTATTTAATCAATCAATCAATTATTTAATCAATTATTAAACCAACCAACCAATCTAAAAGGTTAAAAGAAGATTACATATCGGCCTACAATGGTGTTAAGAAGCACCTATTGAAGCAATCAGACCTGGGGAAGCATTGGTTCATAGGGACCATGCCCTCCATGAAGGACACCCATAGTGCTAATGACGTTATGGTCAGTGTGTGTGTGTGTCTCTCTCTCTCTCTCTCTCTCTCTCTCTCTCTCTCTCTCTCTGTGTGTATGGTGTGAATGTGTGTGTGTCTGTGTGTTTGTGTGAGTGTGTGTTTGTGTTTATTTTATAAACATTGTTACATAGTCAGTATGGATGGAATCTATTAAAGTTGAATGCATTAAAATGATATTATGTTTTATTTTAATGTGTGTGTGCGTGTGTGTGCGCGCGCGCGTGTGTGTTGTATTTGTAATAGTTGCAAAAACAACAACACGATCATCTTCATATTCATCGTCATCATCATCTCACTCATCATCATCATCATCATACTTACCATATGGCCACAATCATCTTCGTCATCTTCACCATCACTCTCATCGTAATTTTCCCAAAAAAAAAAGGTGAACGCCACCAGCACCACCACCACCACCAACAACAAAATAACCCTAACCTCCATTCTTCATTTCTAGGACCACCTAACTTGCTTCTACCCGGGTAACCTAGCTCTCGCCTACATGAGCGGGTTGCCAGCTGAAATGCTCAAAACAGCTAAGGACGTAGTCGAGACGTGTTACATCATGTATAAACAGACGCCGACGAAGTTGTCGCCAGAGTCGGTCAGCTTTCAGAACAGGGCGGGTGAACCGTTTGGACCGAATGTACATGAGCCGGATTTTTTTGTCGATGTTAGTTAGTCGTTGTCGTCGGTTGGTTTCATCTGATTGGCCGGTTGCGATTGGTTGTTCGGTTGCTTCATTCACTCATTCATGCGTTCATTCATGCATTCATTCACTCATTCATTCATACGTTCATACATTCATTCATGCATGTATGCATTTATTCATTCATTCATTCATACGTTCATTCATTCATACGTTCATTCATTCATTCATTCATTCATTCATGCATGCATGCATGCATTTATTCATTCATTCATTCATTCATACGTTCATTCATTCATACGTTCATTCACTCATACGCTCATCACTGATTAATAAAACTCTTCAAACAGTTCGGCTCGGCCTACAACATCCACAGACCGGAAGCAGTGGAGAGCCTCTATTACCTCTACAAAGCTACCAAAGACCCTAAATACAAACAGTGGGCGTGGGATATCTTTGAGGCCTTCGAGAACGTCACCAAACTGGACGAGGGGTACGCTGGCGTCCAAAACGTCATGCAGGCCGACCGGAAGTCTATTACTTATCTTGACAAGATGGAGACGTTTTACTTAGCCGAGACCTTGAAATATTTGTATCTTTTGTTTAGTGATGACGAAAGTCTACTTCCGGTTGATCGGTGGGTCTTCAACACCGAAGCTCACCCTCTGCCTGTTTTCAAGAATTAGGGATTTTTTTTTCGCTGAGTTATTTATTGTTTTTGGATTTTATTTTTGTTTTTCTGTTTTGTTCAGTTTTTTTTTCTATTTTTTCGTTTTTAGTTTGTTCTTTTCATCGATCGATTGACTGATTGATTGGTTGATTAATTGATTAATTGGTTAATTGGTTGATTGAATGAGTCAGTAGTTGGTTAGATGCGTTTTTCCAAATTTGTTGTTCTACTCATTCATTGTTATATACGAACATTTTACCATCACTCCCTTTATGATGGCTGGTGATTAAAGTGCATAAATCTTTATTATAATTATCGTGAACGTTGAAGACGAATGAAATGAATGAATGAGTGAATGAATAAATGAATGAACGGATGAATGAACGAATGAATGAACGAACGAAAGAATGAATAATGAATGAATGAATGAATGTTTAAACTTTTAGTGACTTGACTACAAGCGTTCAATTATTTGTATATATTTGTTTTTATATACAACTATGCAGAAAGATAGAGAGAGAGAGAGAGAGAGAGAGAGAGAGAGAGAGAGAGAGAAAGGGTGAGAGAGAAAGAAACATAAAGAAAAAGAAAGAGTGATAGAAAGAGAGAGAGGAAGAGAGAATAATTATTTTGGTGTAATTATTATAAATAAATGTTCATCCGTTCATGTTTTCATTTTGCTAGCTTTATTTTTATCTATTTACACTGCAGTTTTCATTGTTTAAGTTATGAGATATGAGATTAGTTTTTCTTTAATGAATGAATTGATGAATGAATGAATTGATGAATGAATGAGTGAATGAATGAACAGATCGAACTTTATTGTTTAAGTTAGGAGATTTTTTCATTGAGATTACCAATAATTTTTTTTCTCGAGTAAGTGAATGAATGAATGAATGAATGTATGAATGAATGAATGAATGAATAAGTGAATGAATAAGTGAATGAATGAATACGTGAATGAATGAATGGATCAGTGAATGAGCTGGGCTTCATTGATTAAGTTAGTAAGAAATTTTTGTTGTTGTGGAAATAATGGATAGATAGGTAGGTTGGATGGATGAATGGATACTTAGATAACTGATGATAGATAGATGGATAAACAGATGAATGAATGAAAGAGACAGATAGACGGATGGTAATAGTGAAGAATGAATTGCGCTCACAACACATCAGAGTTTCTAGTCTTAGTAATTATTTTTTTTTTTTTTCTTCAAAAAACTTGGGAGTTATTATTTATACATGTGTATATGGATATCGTTTTATTGTAATCGCGCGCGCACACACACACACACACACACACACACACACACACACACACACACACACACTTAAACCCAGATAAGAAATTTGATGTTATTTGAGGTATTCTGTAAAACAGTAATTAACATTTGTCTGTATATTTACAAATTTGCAATAACAAAAAGTTCGTTCGTTGATTTTATGTTCTTTCATATTTTTTTTATTATTTAAACATTTAATAATAATAATAATGATAATAATAATAATGCCTTAATCCTATAGGAATTTTATTATTATTGATGTTATTTTTTTTTGTTAATATTGTTATTGATCTATCGATTATTTTTGTTGAGTTTTACCTTATCAACTTAGTCGCGTTTGAGTTCAGAATGTTTCATTTTGACAAGAATAATAAAAATTATAGTTATATTAATAATAATAATTAAATTAATAATAATTATAATAATAATTATATTATTAATAATAATAGCATCTTTTCAATGTAATCTGTTTTCCGTTAATAAAATATTGAGTGTCTTAACAACCGGGAAAAATGTGTGTTGGATATAAAATAATTTTATAAAATTATGGAAATTAAACGAATAATTAATTATAATCAATTGATTAATTATAATGGATTAATAACAAAATCTTCATTATTATTTGTAACAACGCTTGGCTTGAAAGTTGATCGCGGCCAATCTGGATGGGTGACCCGGACCTTCAAATTCACATTCAATAGATCGAAGCGATTTCTTTCTTTCTCGTGCCTTATCCTTTCAGAATATTGGGGACCATCAACCTCCACAAAATCCGATCTTTAGCACTTTGTAAGAATTGAAATATAGTGATATTCAACAAGTGACACGAGGACTTCACGAGTGTTATTCGTTGTTGATCGCCATCTCTTCTCCCAGCAATCTTTCCAGTAGTTGTTAGATTTTCCATTCTTTCCTTCCGCATGATGTGACCAAAAAACTTTAACTGCCCCCGTCGGATTATCTGTAGTAATTTCCTCTTTTCATAACTGGACTGTTTCAATATCCTCATTCGAAGTATCAGAGGTCCAACTTTGGTTATTTTCAGCTCTCAGTTTCGATCCTGACCATTACTTTCCAAGATATCACCCCTCAAAAGTTTCAGGTTTTTTGTTTTTAGCCTTTGATTATCAGACAGATTTTCGTGTTTTTCTTCATTTTTTGACAATTTTTTCGAGTTTTAAAAGATTTTAAAGCGATATTTGAACACGTAAAAGTCAAGTTTTTCATGTATGACACTTCCGACACACCCATACCAGAGGTTTTTTATTTTCAATGTCAATTCTCTTCTCAATTATAAATTTTCTCATTTAAAAACGGAAATTTTTCAAAATTATCTTTTTATGTTTTTGACAATTTTGAAAGAAATAAAATAAAACACAGTGTTAATCAAGAAAAAAACCTTAATTTATTCAGCAACAAAAAATAATTCAACTGAAACAATCAAACTATCATGTATATATATATACATACAAGTATATATACAAATATATATATATGTATGTATGTATGTATATATACATATATATGGATACTATGTGTGTGTGTGTGACAAAAAAAAAAATCTAACAAAACAAAAGAAAGTTATAAAAATCACAGTCCTCTCTATACATATTATCGTTACTGTTCACTAAGGGTTATTCATTTATATAGCGCCCTACACAAAGAATCAGGGCACTTAAATATATATAAGGCCGGTGCGTTTAATTGTTTGTTTCTGTATGTGTATGCATCTGTGTGTCTATATATACATAAAAACCAAGATAATTTAATGTATTTTTAAAAAACTAAACAAAAACAATATATATATACATATATATATATATATATAAATATATGGAGAGAGAGAGAGAGAGAGAGAAAGAGAGAGAATGACAGAGAGAAAGAGAGAAAAAATCGAGAACATTGGTGATGGAAAAATGAATAGAATCATCTTTCCGTAAGTAGTTAACGAACGAACGACCAAATGAACTTTTATTTTTTGTTTAAACTCAGCAAGACGATTAAAAAAAATTCTCTTTATTTCTTTCTTTCTGTCAATCTTCACTCCTCCTCTTCCATGGTTTCTTTTCTTCAGTCCATCACCGGTGTATTACAGCAGTTAATGCATTACCGCTGTACGATGGCTGCTTTTTTGTACAACAAACCGAGCGTACGCACACACGCACGCACGCATGCACACACGCACACAAACACACACACACGCAAATGCTTACTGCATTGCATTTACGATACTTTCTCCTAAGTGTTAATCGAGAAAAGACGAATGTATGAAAGAAAGTGAACGAATGAATAAACTCAGGATCAAATGAACGAAAGAAGGAACAAATTGATAAACAAACATAAATGAATGAGTAAAATAATGGATATGAAATGCGAATGAACAAAAGAATAATGAATGAATGAATATGAATGAATGAATGAATGAATATGAATGAATGAATGAATGAATGAATATGAATGAATGAATGAATAAAAAAATAACAAATGAACGAGTGGATGAATGTTCGCTGTCTTTGATGTAAAGACCACGTGGACTTGAATAGAAATTTTTAACCAAGTACACATACTTTTGTCTGTCGTGTATTTATACACACACGCATACACACCACATACAAACACGCATACACACCACACACACACACACACATACACACGCACACCACACATCACTTACACTTTCACCATCATCTTGGTGGTCGTCGTCGTCATCATAGCCACCTGCGAATGTAATGGGCCTGAAGATATATTGAACATTAATAACAGTTCAAGATATCATTCTACCGATTGGTGCTACTGTACGTGCAAACAAACATACAAACAAACATACAAACAAAAAAACAAACAAAAAACAAACAAGCATACAAACAAGCAAACATACAAACAACAACAACAACAAGATCTATCTATGACATCATCAATACGTCATCATCAACAGAACAAAAAAAAACGACAACAATAACAACAGCGGCAGCCCACATTTCATCACATCCCGACCACCCACCATCATCATCACCACCACCATCATCACCACCACCATCATCACCACCATCATCATCACCACCACCATCATCGTCATCATCATCACCACCACCATCGTCATCATCACCACCACAGTTATCACCATCATCAGTATCGGGATGAGGATCATTATCAGGATGAGGTCTTCTCCTCCACCAGACAGCCCTTGCCGAGTAGCGTCGTGAAGATGTGCCTGACGTTGGCGTTCAGCTGCTGGCATCTGTCGACGACTCTCACAATCGTGTGGGCGTTTTTCTCGCATATTTCGAACATTAGGTACTGTGTGTTTGTGTTTGTTTGTTTATGTGTGTGTGTGAGTTTGTGTGTGAGTGTGTGTGTGTGTGTGCGTGCGTGTGTGCGTGAGAATTAATTAAGGAGGAATAATTATAACGAACATCCTTCCAGAGAAGACGATGGTATGGCAAATAGTGTAAGGCAGTCTGATAGACGCATCGTACCTGGAACAACAATGATGACGATAAATTATGATAATGGTGGTGTAAATTATGATAATGGCGGTATAAATTATGATAATGGCGGGCATAAATTATGATAATTGATAGATTCATCGTACCTGGAAAGACGACGACAACGATGTTGTTGTGATAATTGTGGTATAAATTATGATAACTGCGGAACAAATTATGATAATGGTGGTATAAATTATAATAATTGTGGTATAAATTATGATAATATTGGTATAAATTATGATAATGATAGCACAAATGATGATGATGATGATAATAATGATGATGATGATTCCTACTAGCTCTTGACATGTTTCGTACTGACCTTGTCGGGGTCAAACTCTTCGTGCAAGGCTTTCATGTAGCTAGAGGGCAAGGAATAATCATAACAATAAAAATAATAAATGAATAAAAAAAATCGCCATCATCATCATCATCACAACTGAAACCATCATCATCATCACAATTACAATCATCATCATCATCATCACAATTACAATCATCATCATCATCATCATCACAATTACAATCAGCATCGTCATCATCATAATTACAATCATCATCATCATCACAATTACAAACATCATCATCATCTCAATCATAATCATCATCGCCATTACATTTTCCAGAAGGAGAGATTCTGATAATGGTCCCACTTGTAGGTCGTCACCATCATGGCCAGGAAACCATTGAATAGGTTGAATCGGCCAATAGTGATGAAGTGAGTAAGAGCTCTGCAACCATAATCATCATCGTAATAGTAGTAGTAGTAGTAGAGGTATCATTACTATCACTTCGTCTATCTTTACTATCATCATTCTTATCACTTTCATCACTCCTAACATTAATACTAAAGCTAAAATTATCTCTATCATTCATCATCGTCGTCGTCATCATCACCATCTTCGTCATCATCACCATCACCAACCTGACGGCCAATGGAACATTGTCAATCATCTTTGGCAGTATCCAATCATAAAACTGCGTCAGAGAATCCTGTGACAACATTTGCTGAACAAAACAATCGATAGCAACATTCATCCAATCGTAGCTCTTGATCCAACTCCTTCGACCAATAGCGTTAAAGCGTAGGCGTTTCTTCGTCAAGATAACGCGCAATGATTTGCTGAAAAGTTCCCATATCGTTTTTGATTCGTCGGCAAGACTCTCGGACGAAAAACAGCGCGCTAGAAAAGTCTTTCTTTTAACAGCAGCCAATAGGATTTCGGTTTGAGACTTTGGGCATTTTGATTGGTTGAGAGCTTTTTCGAATATTAAGCCGGCAGCCGTGTGATCGCCTTGCAAGTCTAACAATAAACTGAAGAGACAGATGATGGTGGTTGGTGGTTGTGATGGTGGTTTGACGTCATTATCATTGCTAATCAATGATCTAATTTCATTTTTTTAATTATCTAATTGTAACTGCTTATCTGCTTACAATTACATCAAAATAATATCATTCAATTATTCGCTCGCTCGCTCACTCACTCAATTAACCAACAGGTCAATCAACCAACCAATCAAAATCAAACAGCAAACAAAACAAAAAACGAACCAATAGCAGAGCCAAAAATAAGCATTATCATAGGCAAGTATTTTCTCATTGAAGTTTTCAACGTAACAAACTGGGGCCGATGTGATTGGTCGATCAAAGTTCAATAGCGCGCTTAGAATTTTCGGTTTTTTCAAATAAATTAGCATAAATTAGCAATCAATA